GAAGAAGAAGAAAAAAAAAAAGAAGAAGAAAATCATCATCAACAACAACAACAACAACAATAACAACAACAGCAACAACAACAATAACAACAACAGCAACAACAACAACAACAACATCAGCAACAACAACAACAACAACAAAAGAACACTATTTTAACACTCACCACATTCTCCAAATCCGGATCAGCGGCGATATGCTGCAGGCTGCCGCCTACAAACTGCTGACCGTTGTACCGACCTCGCCTGGATCCGCCCCTGGACATGGCGCGAGATGGGGGCGGGATGAGGCGTCCGGTCTCTGGTGAGTACATCGTGGACCTGGGTCTCTGCTCTTCCTCTGGCTTAGGCCCGGACGCGGATGCCGGCGCGGGTACTTCGTTGTCGAGATTCAGTTTTTGGGTGAAGGCGCTGAGTTCATCACGCCAGGCCTCAGTTACGGGTACTGTGGGGGGAAGGAAAGGGATAGTAGTTTTTTAAAAATATATTTTTTTAATTTTTAGAAGAGGGTGTACAGCGCTCACAACTGCATACGGTCATAATGAGCGCCAAAGGGAAAGGGATAGAAAGTTGTACTGACGAATGTGTCCAAGACATGGAGGGGGGTTGAAGGAAAACGGCGACGACTATCCTTTGTCGAGAAGAAAAGTTATTGGGGGAGGAAAGTTGACAGCAAAATAATACTAAGAAAAACCAACATAATTTGTACAGTCGAACTCTATCAAGCTGACGCCGGTACTTCGTTGTCCAGATTCAGTTTTTGGGTGAAGGCGCTGAGCTCATCACGCCAGGCCTCAGTCACGGGTACTGTAGGGGACAGGAAAGGACAGAAAAATCGTGAAGGAAGACTGAAAATTGTAACGTGATCTTGTCCAAGACGACCATTAATTATTGACATGGGGTACGTGTGTGTGTGTGTGTGTGTTGGTGGGGGGCAGAAAATGTTAAAGATCTTACAAAAATCGTATCGTCGAACCTATTCAAGACGACCAACCATTACCCAGAGGAAAAGAGATTGAGGGGAGGAAAAAGGACAGAAATTCGTTAAGGGAAACCAAAACTTTACAGTCGAATCCTTCAAAGATGATGACTACCCATTGCCGAAGAGAAAACTGGGCATCTTAGATAGGTAGTCCTCTCGGACAGTGTTATAGAAAAACCCTACAAAGGTGGGGGGAGGGATTAGTGGTCGTTTGTACAGGTGATTGCCTTGGATAAGTGCTAAGTTGTGTGTGTGCCTGCGTGTGTGTGTGTGTGTGTGTGTGTGTGTGTGTGTGTGTGTGTGTGTGTGTGTGTGTGTGGTGTGTGAGGGAGAGAAAGAGAGAGAAAGGGGGGGGGAGAGATAGAGCGAGCAAACGAGCGAGTGAGTGAGTGAGTGAGAGAGAGATAGATAGAGATAGATAGATAGATAGATAGATAAACACAGAGAGAGAGAGAGAGAGAGAGAGAGAGAGAGAGAGATAGAGAGAGTGTGTGACTGTGAGTGAATATGATGTCAGATTGGATGAAAACTGTAACTTCGAGGAGCACATTCATTTAAAGTACAAATTATCTATCTCCATTTCCAATTTTCCAAGCATAAAAAAACACATGCCCCTACACCCCACTTCTGTAGCCTCAATATCAACTAGGCCTGCGACGTAATATATGTACATACTCAGACTCAGTAAGGCTACTTAATCCCCCTCAAGTAGGAGAGTACACTAAAGCAACGTGTGTTTTGGTTTCTAACGTTGTAAGTCTCGAGGAAGGTGTCAGGAAAGATTAGGCTATTCCTAAAGTGTTCACTTAATTTGAGACTTGCGAGTATGGCTTCTTATAAAACGATAGGGTTGTTGAGAAGAAAAGTGCACAGAGTCGAAGTCGGCGAGATAACGGTTGGTTTTCCGGGGAAATAAATTAGGAGACATGCAACAGTGCACAAAAATGAGACCACTTTAAAGTGAAGCACTATGGGAAATGTAAACAGTAAAATTAGGTCTGTGTGCCGTTTTACTAAACCAACTTATTTTATGAGAATCATTCCAGCTCCTAAAGGAACCCAGAGTGGGTGGTTAGAAGGTGTCAATGGTGGTTCCTTCTTATTTTACTTACCTCTTTTATTTATCTGTCTGTCTTTCTTACTTTTTCTTAGCACTAAATAACCTTTGAAGTATCGATGTGCTTCTCTTTATTCAAGCAAACAAACGAGCCCAGAGGGCTTATAGAAAGGCGTAATAGCTAAACCATGTTCTAAGGCACACAACTAAGTTTACAGCGAGGCCAATGTCCCTTAGGTTTACCTTTTCGACTTAAGTGAGGCACTGCACTGTAACAAGTAGCACATAACTATACTGCTTCCTGCAGTGTGCTCTTAATGCCACATGTTCTCCTTATTCCATTGTTCATTGGCCGTAAAAGAAAGAAAACTAACGAAGCAAACAAACAAACAAATAAAAAAACACCCACCAACACCCCTCTCCCCCCACCACCCAGCAAAGTGAATTTTTGTCAAAGATGGTGTAAGGTAATATTTTGGGTACCGCCCTTTTAAAAGGGCACGGCATTCGATTCGACGTCCATTTCCAACAAAGCTCAATAGCTTATGATGAGTTGGAGAAAAGGCAACCCCGCATGCTACTATAACAACATGCGACGTCTGGACTTCGAACAAGAGTCCACAGCTTCACCAACCACCACCGTTAAAGAGAGCTAATACCCAGTGCACACTGCAAATTTGATTATTCGATCCACTTGGGATCAGCCAGATTTTCCTTCAAGGACTGGAAAAGTAGCCTACCCATTTTGGTACAATACGACCAATTCGACTCGTGCCCTTGAAAAACAAACAAGCACATTCGAACCTGCTTTAAAAGCCACTTGCATATGAGACCATCACATGTACACACGGCTACCTCCCACCCCCCTTCCCCCTTGTGCATCTTTTCCATTTCAATGACACTGTGTAAGACGGCCACTTTTCTCCTCGAGAATAGGTGACCATATTACACAATTTTGATAGTAATTTTATTTTGAAGATCACAATCGAATTAAGTTGAACTCTAACTCTCACCTAATCCAACCTTGGGTATCGCCTTCTCCCTGTAGGGATAGCTGTTGAGTCCCATGAAGTACTGGAGTCCTGTGATCGTATTGATCGGATGCAGTTGGCTGTTGACATTAATGGCGTTGACTGGGATACGGCCTTTCCAGTTCTTGAGACGGTTGGTGTTGTGCTGGTTTGGCGGGAACTGCAGGGAGTAGCGGGGGTTGGCGAAGTAGCCGTCATCGTTCACGCTGCAGATGGGCACGTCCAGGAGACCTGGAGGGTCAAGGGTCAAAGGTGAGATTGATGTAGAGAGTTATAATATTATTTTGTACTTTCATAGATGGGGAAATAGCGTCGGTAGCCTAGTGGTTAGGCTACGGGATCCTACGTTGTGTCCTT